CATCTTCAACAGCAGAACATGTCTTCCCCAGCAAAACCATTTCTTTCTTATAAATTAAACAACAATCCATAAGATTTCGAGGTTGTGGGACGACTCAATTTAGTCTTGCCTCTGTCTCTAGTTCTAGGAAAGGGGTCAGGTATTCGTATAGCTCTGTTGTACGATTTAAGTCCTACCTCGTTCTAAGTTCCGAGGTGTCGTCCGATACGACATAAACACTCATATCTTCCAGGCAGTTTGTGTGACCATGTCACGCAAATATAAGCCCTAATTAAATAAAATTAACATGACGAAACACTTGAATAATTTCTTCTCGAAACTGAGGCCAAACCATAGAAACCATAGGATAGACTGGGAAGTTAGACTGGGAAGTCACCGAGGTTCGCCTCCGGAACTATGACCTCCACTGGTTTCTCTTCACTTGGATTCCTCAACAATGTTCCAGATTTGAGTTTTTCCCCTTTCACACCTCTTCGTCTGATTTCGTTGAAAAGTTCTATCCTTTTGACTTCTTTGAAGATAGTATTCCCTGATTTTATCGAGAATTTTCTTAGGTGACTTCAGTCATTTAAGATGTAATTAACTATAAGGGCTTGCCCTTATAGGAAGCTTTTCCGAACTCAGCTTAAAATAAACATTATTTAATTCTTTGTATTAAATAGGGAAACTTGTCGGCAAATAAAACGGTTTCGTAGATCAAACGGATGTCATATGTTTTCTTAGTTTATTTGATCGAGTCTCATCCTCAAGTCTTGTGTTTATCTCTCGGGATAGATACAGGATTTGAGGTAGGGCGTTCTTTCATTTAAACTGTGAAAAATATGAGGTCAGTTTGATTTCATATTTTTTCTTAAAACTTATATATATGTATGTAAATTAAACGTCCTTCCGAAGCGGGCGACGGAACTTCACTTCCAGCGACCGACAGCTTCTTACGGACAACTTTTGAACAAACCACCTTTAAACTTTTAACCTTTCCCCCCTTTTTTTTAGCGCCGACAGACACCTACTTCGCAAGTGTCATTCGATCAAAACCCCCACTACCGACCAGAAGATAATTGAGGCTTATTCCCTTGTTTCCTCCATTCCACACAAATGTAATAGACAAAGAGGGCACGGGAAATGGAGCAAAGATGGAGCCGACGAGACTGAAGGGAGAAAGATCGAGAGGTGATCCTCGAGCGACCAAATGGCTCATCTTCCTCAAGCATCTTCGATAGACTGCACGAGCACACATGTCGAGTGATTTCGCGCTCAAGCACAAGCCTTCCTCGTGTGCCTGCAACGATCATTGAGGAAGAAAGAGAGGGCACAAGCGGAATCAATAGGAGATTCCACAGTCACAAGCGCAAGCAAACAAACTAGGGGCTCAAGCATCTCAAGCGAGCCTTCCTCACTTGTCTTCGACAGACTAAGAGGGTTTAGAGTTTACGGGAGCTTTCTGTGCGAAGAAGGAGAAAACTCGGAGGCTTTTCCCTATAGAACGGAGTTTAGGCACTTGAGAGAAGCTTAAACGAGCATTTGTATGCTCTGAGTGAAGAAAGTGGCTTAGCATAAAGGAAAAAGGGATGTTTGCAAAATTAGAAGAGAATTTTAGCACTGAAATTTTAAGATTCATCTACAATTTTTGTGAAAATCTTTAACTTCTGGAAATCAAAAAATGAAATTTTCTTGAGTTTTATCACAAATTATTTTAGGCTCTTGGTGAGGAAGATAAATCAAGAAGGATTTTGTTACGGAGGATAAAAATTTGTAGGTATAATGTCAAATTTCAAAAGTTAATCTCGACTTCTTAATCAATTCATATTAATAATAAATTAGATTCTCAAAACCCTAAGCAAAAAAAAAACAAGCTCAAGAAATTTCCTAATAAAACAAAATCTGGAAGTTAATTGATGTAATTGTGAATACTAATGTTTGTTTGAAGGTTCGTACATATATGGGAAAGAAAATCCAAGCGTAGGATAATCATCATAAAATGATTAATACTTTAGGGGTATAATAGAACATGAAGAAGGACAAAGATAATTGAAACTAATCAAAGCAAATGAGTTACTAAAGCACAAAAGAAATAGTTTGATCTGAGAAAAGGACAACTGACTGCCTTAAACATGTGGATAAAAATATTTTTATTTTAAAATAATTCTTTTTTATTTATGAAATCAATTGCAACTATTTTTACTGTTTTTAGTACTTTATTTTAAGAAAATAAAAGTTTCATGTTTTAAATATTTAAAATAAATGTTAAATAAAAGAAAGAAATAAAATATCATATATTCATATGCATATGTGGAGTCACTAACATATAGTACTAAATGGGGAAGCAACGTACTCAAGTAGGTAAAATGAAAATGTTTATCTACATTTTGGTAGGTTTTGAAAATGGTTATGAAATGCGTACTTTTAATACACATTAAAACGATGACTTCTGCTGATAAATATTTTAAATGAAATAATAAAAATAACAATAAAAATAATTTCATTATTGTTTATTTTTACTGCTTATTGTCTTTTTACAAAATATTTTTCAAATATGAATTATTATAATTTAAATACATTTTACCCACTAAGTTATTAAACTCATGTCTTTAGTTGCTAATATTTTTCAAGGAGATCTCCTTTAGAATAGATGGATCATAGAGACTGTGCATAGAAGTTAGAAACCAAAGGAGATAGGTACAATATTTTTGTTTTTATTTTTCTATAGTTTTAAAAATTTAAATCTGAACGAATGCTTGTAAATTAAAATTGTGAAATAGATAGCTCTTTTATGTTATATATAAGTTTGTTTAAATACTGAAAATATTTAGATTGTATTTTTTCCTTCTGACTGATTGTTCCCATCTTTGTATTCCAAGTTCTCAGGCTGGGTCCTGACCAAATTATCTATGAATGCTCCCTATCAATTTAAGGTGTGCGAGCTCAAGGAACCAACTCAAAGTGCAAGGTTAAAAAAAAAAAAAGAGAAAATACCAAGTGAACTTATGAAAGCAAGATCACATAAAAAATAGATTATATACTAAAAGAAAAGTAGGGGTGATAAAGAGGCTGCGACACTACATGAGAAACAGAAAAAAAAATTAAGAACCAATAAATAAAATGGGCATTAGAAACAGAATTCAATAAAATCAAATTTTAATAATTTATTTTCATTTATAAACTGGTCGCCAAATGGGTTTGAGGGAAATATCCTTACCATACAAGCCCAACTAAAACATAGTGATATTTACAGTAGCATACACCGAAAATAGGATATCCATATTTATCCATACATCAATGGTAAGAGGGCCTAATTGTTGATGACACCAAATATAGACTATGATTGCTGACTAAAATTTCTATGCTTTTCAACCAAGCCATTCATCTTTCACTACGACGAAGAAGGGCTTCTTTCGGTGTGCAATAAAGAGATTAACAAATTAGACATATAAGGATCTTATTTGAAACTTTTCTACATTTGTAATATTTTTTGTACTTAAGGCATGCAATTTTATAAACACAAACCATGAAGGTAGGAAAAATCCAGCCATTGACCAACTGAGAAGCAATGAAGAACAAGTTAAAAAATATAAATAAGTTAACAAAAAATTTATAACAACGCCAAGTTAAGTAAAAAAGTGACATTTGTTCTATAGAAGTTCAAGGATAAGAAAATGATGCCTTAAACATATCAATTCATAGTAACAAGAAGTCGCCTTCAAAAAGGTTATCAGTGTCATATGCATGCATCCAGTCCTTTAAGCTTGGTTAGCTAAAAAGTTCCGTTGATATCATAATTAAGTGATGGCCTTCCGCACAATGTCTCGAATTCAAAGTTCGTTGCAATCAAGAGATTAGTTAATAGATAGGACTTGTCTATATAAAAAACAAAATTCAAAGAAATATAAAAGATATAAGAGCGGCACCATATTAAATGATAATAAGGTTTAATAAAAAAAAATTAAACTGACACACCAAATGAATTATACTACGATTATTAGCAGTTAAATATTTTTTAAACAATAAGCGTGCCATATAAGCAAAATAAAAAATAAAAAATAAAAATAGTACCAAGTAGCAGAAACAAACCTTGGACAAATTGCAAGAAAGTTTGATCAGCTTGTCCCAAGATGCAACAGTAGGTATGACTTCAATTTTCTCATGTAGCTTTTCAAATTTTGATATAATATCTTCAACCTTCAAGCAAAATAAGTCTTAAATATTCAAAAACCAGCCAAATGCAGATGACAAGAAAATCAATTTCAAGAAATTCAGAAAAACGCTAGAATGCATCAACGTCTTGTTGTTGAACATGTGTGTATGTGCATGCATATACAAAAAGGTGTATAAACACACTTAAAGTAGATAAAAACCATAGATATAGATATTCATATGAATGAATTTTCTCACAAAAACAAACACACATGAACATGCATATACTTGAACAGATTGTGTTCAAAAGCCTTTTCTGCCAAGAATGACAAAACCAATATAAAATAAAAATTAAAGTATCAATTATCATATTCATACAGAAACCACCAAAGAAAAAAAAATGCAGCGAAGAATGTTACAAGCAATGTCAAGAAGACAGGATGATTTAAGATGAGCAGGGATTTTCAGTAACGTGGTGTTATCCTGCCAGAAAATCAGCCGATGGAGCGAGATAAATAAGAGTTAAGCTGAGTGTATGATATATTATTATTAAAATGGGCTTGAAATTTCACCAAGAGAAGATTTCCACCTTTAAATTTCAAAAAGAAATCCCAGCCCATCATATCCACTTTTATGAAACCCTAATGTCAAACTGAACTGGCGTAAGAAGCGAAGCCTGAATTGATTTTCGTTCTTCACTCAAAGCATCCTATAATTTAACTATCATCAAGAGGGCAAAATTGAAACCTCCTAAAGGCAAATGAAGATGATGGAAAAGATGGGTTGAACCCAGTGAACAAGCATTCTTCGTCTTCACTACCATTGCTACCACTACAATTGTTACATATGTTTGTTTCTACCACATGAAATCCTTAAGTTGAATCAACATCAATCCCGTTTTTCATCCATCAACCGCCTCTTTATTGGGAAACATCATTGGTTTGCATCTTCATTGTTTATGTTGCAATTCTTATCTCTAATGGTGATTGCTCGTTACATCTCACTTATTGAACCGAGCAAATCAGAGGCCAAAGCCTTTTCTCTCCAACTGCATCTCCCTTTAGCAGTAAAATCATAGCAATGGGAAAGCTTTATTTTTGTTGTGCTTAGGGTGTAAAAAAGCTAGCTTGAATGAGCTTAGCATCAATTTGTATTCGACTCGTTCTAATTCGCAATCAAAATTTTTTGTAAATGGCATATTCATGCTTGATCTTTAGAATTCATCCATTCATGTGCAGCATGTTTGGCCATATTTAGCTCGAATTTTCTAAAAATACTAAATTTTAATCTTTTTTAATAAAACTTGAAAAATCAAAAAATATATATATAAAATAAAAAACCTTATTAGAAATTTATGATTTATGTAATTAATAATTAGTTAATTATTCAATTATTTTGAGCATAAATGAGACAAATAGAATCACACAAGTGTCTTTTGTGCTCAACTCGCATATAAATTGAGCTCAAAATTATTGTTCGTGTTTAGCGCACAAATGAACGGTTCGAATACTACCCTTTCACAAACTGTGCAAGAGCAACTTACGAACAAAAAGTATTTTCAAATAGCCTTAGTTGTACTCTTTCAATGTTGAATTTGACTAATTTTCTATCTTAAGATCGGCTAATAAAAATTGGGATTTCATGGATATATTTTAAATAAGAGACATCAACAAGGCCAAAGCCTAGGGAAAATTCTTCTTTTCGTATAAATTTAATTTCATATATGTTTAATTCAAGTAAAGATTTAAATCAAGTGTATTAAAGATGAAAATTAAATAGTGTTTTTCTTAAAAAAAGATAATCAAAATAAGTGGGTGAGTTATTTTGATAAACTTTTTTAATGAAGTTTCGGAAAATACGATCGACCTTAGTGATCTTAATATCATTAATAATAATAAAATATTTCATTTTATTGTCGCATTAGTAAAAAAGAAGTTGAGGAGGCTTTAAAAAAAACCAAGGGTGGAAAGTTTGTATGACCTGATGATATCCCAATAGAAATATGGAAATATTTAGGAGATTTGGGAGTTTTTTAGCTTACTAAACTCTTTAATATTATTTTAAAAACTAAAAAGATGTTTGAGGAGTGGAGGAAGAGTATTTTGGTCCCCTTTTTAAGAATAAAGGGGATGCATAAGAGTGAGAAAATTGTAGAAGAATTAAGTTGATATGTCATATTTCAAAATTATGTGAGAGGGTAATTGAACATAGGTTAAGACCCAACATAAGATTTTTATTGATTTAGAAAAAGCTTATAAAAATGTTCCAAGAGATATCTTTTAGATTGTTCTTGAGAAGAAAGGTGTCGATATGACTTATATTCAAGCCATTAAAGATATGTATATAAGAACTATTACTTGTGTTCGAATGGAATGACGACTGGCCAAATATTTTCCTATTTCTGTTGGTTTACATTAGGGCTCGGCTTTAAGCCCATATCTTTTTGCTTTAGTTATGGATGGTCTCACTAGACACTTATAGGAGGATGTACCATGGTGTATGCTTTTTGTCGAAAATATCCTTCTCGTGGATAAGACGAGAGAAAAAGCTAAGCAACAACTTGAACTATGGAGGTCTAACTTGGAGTCTAAAGGCCTTCATTTGAGCGGAACTAAAACTGAATACATAGAATGTAATTTTAGTAATAGTAGCTCTAGAGACTGAAATGTAACTATGGGTGATCAAATTATTAAAAGGTGTGAACGCTTTAGATATCTTGGGTCTATTGTTCTGAGTGATAGTGATATTGATGGGGATGTTATTAGTAGAATTCAAGTTATTTTGTTGAAGTGAATGAATGCTTTAGGCCTATTGTGTGATCGAAAAGTACCGCTTAGACTGAAAGAAAAATTTTATAAGATGATGGAAGTTGGTGGTGAGACATGCAAAATGCTCTATGACACTGAATGTTGGCCTTTAAAAGAGAAGCATAAAACCCATTCATTTAGTAGCTTGCCATGAAACACTATTGTATTTATTTCCAGAATGCTCGAATTGTACTCGACAAGTTCCAAGTAGTACATGAATATATCCGAATATATCCGTGATAGGGTTGATGTAGCTCCAGTGGCGCAAAATTAGAGGAGTCGTCTTAGATGGTTTGGTCACATTAAACGTCGATCATCTGATGATTCAATTAGAAGAGTAGATATTTTAGATTCAACTTATGTTAAGAAAGACAGAGGAAGTCCGAGGAAGACTTGAGTTTATTGTATAAAAATGATCTGAATTTATTAGAACTAAATGAAAATATGACTCTAAAGAGGACGCAATGGAAAAAAAAGGATTCATGGAGTCGATCCCACATAGTGGGATTAAGGCTTTGTTGTTGTTATATGTTACGTATTGATGAAAAAGAATGGATTTCTCCTTTAGTTAACCTTGAAAATTGGCTTAAGAAATTTTATAAATTTTCTAATATTTCCATCTCATTCTTTTTTACTTTATTATGGTTATTTCTTCAATTTTACTGAGGAATTACTCTCTTCTAATATCCAAAGCTTTCTTGTGCCCTCCCTTTCATCTTCTCATGTCATTCAAAATTCTTCCTAAACCGTTAACAATTTGTAAAACCATAGGGTGTCATCCATGGCATTTCACAATTCAAAATATTAGACGCCTGTTTGCCTCTTCAAAATAGCTTCAAACTATTTGATAGTTCATTTATAAATGCTCTTTATTTATAGTTCTCCACAAGTTATCTAAGGCAAGTTGATGTCTCAGGTCCGTATCCCGACCACGTCGAAATCAAATTTCACCCTTAAATAATGTCAACATAATTTTGAAAGTGTCAAACATGTGTAGAGGCGTGTCAGTCTCTAACACAAACAGGAAAGGCATTTTAGATGTCAGTGTTCCATAGCTCAACTGTAAGATATAAAGTTTATGTTTCATCAAAAGCAAATAAATCCACGTTGCCAAGCCGCAAATTAATTATGTTTAACCAACTTTACATTCATTTGCAGTTTACTTGTGAAACTATACTGTTTTATTGAACTCCAATGCATCAACATATTTTGTTGGTTGATTTAATACTTCTCACATAAAACTTAGAACTGAAAGATGCAAAAATATATGGGGATTTCAAGGAACATGCAAGCTCTATTTTTAATGAATAGTTTAGCATAAAAGCCCCATTATTGTACATGTTCACATTTCAATATAATGAAATTATATTCATCTAATTTTACACTAGAACTAAATTTTCTCAATCATATATGGTCTTAATACGTTTTGAAACTTAATCAAGCATAGTGAGATAGATGAAGACCACCATGAATTATTTTTAAGTTGGGCAACTTCTGAACACTTGCCCTTGGAACAAGTGCATTTTTACTGATTAAATTAACAAAAAAAAACACTAAGAAACTGTAGTGTTCGGTTGCAAGGAATTACAAGAAAAGAATGGTACTTAAAATGATAAAGTGAAATCCGTGTTGCCTCATTTACCTTGATTGAGAAGAAATTTACTTAAAAATAACTCACTTTAAGAAATTAAGTTTTATTTCATGTGAGTATGAGGCATGCATGCTCAAGATATGACCCAATAAGGTTTCTTCCCGTTTTATGTAGGGCTGTGAATTAAGCTTGAAGATCATTAATCGCTCGAAGATTGATTTGAATATTGGCTCGGATCGAGATCGGATCAAAATAAATAAGCCGAGCTACGAGCCAAAATTTTGGATCGAATTTTTTTCGATTCAACCCCAGCTCTACTCGAAATCAAATCGTTAACATCGTATGGTTGAGAATTTAGCAAATTTCGCTCTAGGATCGTTAATCGCTCGAACAATGACTCGAATTTTGGCTCGGATTGAAATAAACGAGCCGAACTACGAGACAAATTTTTTGATCTAATTTCTTTCAAGTCGATTTTGAGACAACCCCAGTCGGCTCGAAATCGGATTGTTAATTACCATAGTTTTACATTGGGGTTGGGTAAGCAAAAAGTAATGAAAAAAATATTTGTTAGCATTTCGTTGGAGAATCATTTTCCGATCAAATGAATTCACCTAAAAACAAATTTTAAATCATGAATTAAAACA